TTAATAATATATTAAATTCAATATACAAGAGTATTAGAAATTAAATTTTTAAGTCTTTAAATAAATCTCTCTATAGTTTCAAAATCCAAAGTAATCTTAAAACAACCCTAATTTTGTAAAGCTTTTATAAAATTAATACAAAATTAAATCATTCAAAATCAATATTCAAAGACCTTTTACAAGTTTTTTTCTCAAATCCCACTCTTCGATCAACTAAAGAATCCTAGAATTGCCTAAGGTGTGCAATTTTATTTCTTGGAATTTGATTTTGACCTTAGTTCAAAATTGATCCTGTTCAAGTATCAATTCAAAATTTCTTAAGATTATCATTCACAAATGATAGTTTATAGATATATTTATACACACACATATATACATATACATATATATATATATATATATATAAATATACATATATATATATATATACAAGAAAAAAAATTGATGAAAACAAATAAATAAGTGAGATTTATTTTTTAAAAAAATAATAATAAATAAATATATTTGAATATATATATATATATATATATATATATATATATATATATATATATCTATATTATTCAAGAAATAAAATTGATTATATATATATATATATCTATATATATGTATATTAAATAAATATATTATAATATAAATAACTTGATTATATAATCAATATGTATAATATGAATAATATAAATAACTTGAATAATATAGATATATATATATATATATATATATATATATATATATATATATATATATATATATATATATATATATATTCTTATCAATATGTTAAGAATAAAAATTTAATGGAAGTAAATAAATAAGAGAGACGTTTTTAAATTAAAATAACATAATAGAAATATGAAGATATGTATATTCAAAAAGCAAATTAAAATGACAATTGCTAAAAGATAAAAAAATTAGAGATCCTTAAAATTAGACTAAAAAGAAGAAAAAATTTGATAAAAATGAAGAAGGCTTTACTCTTGTTTCTATATATACTATCTAATTGCTAGATATGTATCTTAACTTTTAAAATAAGTTTTTTATACTTGTGCCACATAATTAGTTTTTACCACAAGCTACCAATACATATGACATATTGCTAACTTATTTGATAATTATTCAACTTACTAATTATCTTTAGATGTATATAAAGATAAAATTGCATCTATAAAGCTTTTAAAAAGCTTTTTTATAAGATATTATCAAATTAATCAAATTTTACCTACTTATATCTATTCATATTATCTAAGTAACTATTGGAATAAATAAATAAATATATATATATATATATATATATATCCATAATGATATTAAATAATCTATATAAAATTTGATCTACCAAAAACTAATATATAACAATAGTTTTTAATGGAACTTTTTAGACTAAAGAGTTGATGTTATATAGGATATAATATTGTTTTTAAAAAAAATTAAAAATATAAAATTTTGATCATTAATAATTATCTGATAATACAATGTTATTTTTATTATTTTCTAGCATCATAATTTCTATACAAAATAAAACCTTTTATATCAATTGTATCTATGAAAAACTTATATACAACTAATATATTAATACATTATTGCATTTGAGACATCAATTATTAAAAAATATTAAAAATTAAAAATTAAAAATTACAAAATACTCTTGCTTCATAAAATGCTTAAAGATCTGTTTAATTATTTCAAGCATATAAATTAACATATCAATTCAATCACTCATTAAATCACATCAATTTATATTAATATTTATATATGTATTCAAATAAGACTAATATTTAATATAAACTTGTAAGCACCAAAATAACATTTATTGTGCACTACAATGACATCAAGTGCATTGCAATGTCCACAAATCTTAAGAAAAAATAAAAAATAATGGCACAAGACTTCTTAATTGACTACCATTGTCATGTGTACAACTCAAATGATACTAATATGAGATTGTAGAATATCAAATTTCATTCAATTGTTGTTATTAAGATTCAGGACAATAAACATCAAATCACAATAGTAATAATTGAACTAGATGAGCACAAATTAAGATATCATGCAACACAACTAAAAGATGAGAATGTGAAGGATTAGTAAGTATAAAATAAATCAATCAAGTACCTTATTAAATACACTTACAAAAAAACTTTGATAGAAATAAGAGAAATATAAAACAATTAACAATATATTATATAGGAAAGGGACTATTTTTTATTCTTAGTATCAATATAAAACCTTATTTTTAATGTTAACTTGCAAAAAGGCTATATTAGACTTTTAGTATCTCTAATTTTTTTGGCTTTCATTTTTTTTTAACTTTTTCATTTTTTTGATTGTATTATTTTTCTTAGTTGAGAGACACCTAAATTTTTTAAAGACCACCCAATATTTGGTTGCTTAATACTAAATTATCTATGAAATATCAAAATACTAATTAAAACACTTTCACATCAATGTACAAAGATACAATAAAATTTGTCAAGGCATAGGCCATGGAGTTGTATAGCTCATATCTAAAAGAAATGCAGTTATCTATTTGAATTCTCAATTTTGGATCATGAAATTTGGTTTGAATATTGGGGTTGAATTTTGTTGTTTAGTATGAGATGATTGGTGCACAGCTTTTAAAGAAAAACTCACTAAACTATTTTGGAATTAAAAATAAAAACTGATACTTTAACTGATACTTTCTTAAGTGCAGGAAAGTAGAAAGAATAAGTGAGGTAGGTCTATAGAATAACCTGGCAAGAGCCATTGATATTGCCAAGATGGTTTTAGCATTTGCCATGTTGAAAGCTTTATGGCTAAGCTTAGAGGTTAGGAGGTTCAGAGGTTCCATTTGGAATTAAGGTTTCGTATGGACAGTTGCAACAACACCAGAATGTGTAACTGTCAGCGCCAAAATTCTTTTTCCAAGCATTAGATTGGAAATTGTAATGCTTTTTGTGTCGGTTGAAACCGAAGAGCCATAACCAAATTTAACTCTCAGCCTCCTTCCATTCACGAGGTGAAAGGTTACAAATACTGGATATGGCTCTTCACCTCCAATAGACACACAACTGCCGTCCTTCATTTTCTCGCATATCCATCGCCATTGGTGCCCCACATTGCGTATATCAATACCTGTGTTGGCGATCCGACGAATTCCAGCTGCAGCCAGGGATAGAGATCCTGTCGTAGATGTGAAGGGGGGTGCATACCGCAAGGCTTGCGTGTTTGCACAGCAACCTTTTCTGGCCTGTGAAGCGATGAGCAGCCTTAGGAATGACAACAGCAGCAGCGAAGGTGAAATGCCGTGCCCCGAAACGAAACCGAAGTTTAGGCCTTTGAACTGCGATGATGAGGACAAGAAAAAGTTCCCCGTAAGAATCACATACTGCTCAACATTCTCAACATTAATTCCTGGTCATTGAATGCCATCAGCTCCGTTCATCAGCAATCTCTCAAACTGCCAAATCCATATCCCCTCCACCCCACTCTCCGCAACCCAATCCCAGAACTAGAACTCATTCTGTCCCATGAGCCTCAACCCTGAGGAACAAGTCTTTGCCCGCAGTATGTGGAAGTTTGCGGTCCCGACAAGTCCTCTCGAAGATTTGCCTTAGGGACCAGAGCAAGCTTCGCCGTGGATCGCTTCAACAAGAAGCTTGTGGACGCCGTGAAACCCGTCGTATGCGTGGAGGCTTTCAAGGAGGGAGAAGACCCCATCGAGTTCGGGCCCGACGCTCCCCTCATGTCCATGTGCACCTGGAATCTACGCGTTGTTCAAGAAGGTGCGCCTATCTTCCCATGCTTTCACCCTTTCCACAAACCCAACTTATGCCATGCTTTTCTCCCCACCTTTCTCGCACTTGTAGCTCGTCCATGACTTCGTTTATCGGCGGTCATAGCCCCCTTTCAGCCCATCGGGGTGGGCGACAAGATCCCCAACGGTGAGCTCACATACCTCGACGGCTGCGGCAAATTGCAAACTCACCTTATCTACGACCTCGTGAGGGAAAAAAGGGTGGTGTTCTTCGGTGTCCCTGGAGCATTCACCCCAACATGCAGTTTAAAGCACGTTCCTGGATTCATCGAGCGCGCCGCAGAGATTTTAGACAGAGGGATCAACGAGATCGTCTGCATCACAGGTACGTCTCCACGCCTAGCAAGTACAGCTCATGGCGATTAAGCCACGCACAGCCGTATGGAAATCGCATCTAAGATGGCGAGCTTTGAGTTTGTGTGCGTGTTTTGGTGGGCGAGGGTGCGCAGTGAACGATCCATTCGTGGTGAAGGAGTGGGAGAAGACGTACCCTGAGAACAAGCACGTCAGGTTTCTGTGCGACGGTTCGGCGATCTGGACGAAGAAGATCGGGCTGGAGCTGGACTTGTATGATCGAGGCATGGGGGTGCGATCTCGCAGGTACAGCTTGATGATTTGCGACACCGTTGTCCGCATTGCCAACATCGAAGAGGGCGGAGGCTTGGAGACGTCGACTGCGAGTCGCATGCTGAAGGACTTGAACACCGGCAAGGACATGGTGTTGCCTCCCTGAATGGGCTTGTTCCCCTTCTTCCATTGTCCCATATTGTCCTGTGTATGAAATGAATTTAGGTCTTCGTATTGAAACATCTTAATACGAGGCTTTGGTGTGTGTTGCAAGTGATGCTTGTTGTGGAGATCCATTTCGAAGGTTGTGGGTTCAACGACTAATTTCAACCTTTCCAAAAGCTAATAGGTTACTAGTATGAGTAATCATGGTAGAGTGTAAATATTAAATGTGTTGATTCTCATTCTTTTTTTCTTTTTTTTTCCCTTTTTCTTTTTTGAATGCAAGTGCATTAGAGAGATTCTTTGTGGTGTAGTGTGGTTGTTAAATCAATATTGCTTTAAAAAAGAAAATGGGATCATACATTATTTCTCCTTGAAGGTCTTAATGTTATTGTAGTCAGAAAATAGGAGAAGATATATATCTTGAGAACAATCCCCTTTGACTTGAATGTAAAAGTTTAATATCTTATCTAATGAATGGTGGATTGAAGTCACACATGTGTTTACTTTTCTTTTTTCTTTTATATGATATCAATTTAAAATCATTATAAATCTTGCTTCACCTTCAATTTTTTTTAATTGAAAAAGTACTATACATGATAGTGAATTATTTGAATTTTCTACTAATGATTAAAAATATAAAATATATTAAAATAAAATAAAATATTTTAAGTATTCAATATTATGAATATTCTTTAATTATAAATAATTATAATTATTTATATTCATATTTAATTAAAATAATATTATTTTTATTATTTTTTATTAATACAAAAAAAATCTTTTGTAGAATAGAATTTATCATATATTATTTATTTGTACTATATATTATTTTTTTGTACTATATATTATTACTATTACTAATTATTAGATATATGTAAAAAAATTAAAAAATTTAAACTACTCTAAATTTAATATATCTGTAAAAAATAATAATAATAATAAATAAAATACAATATCTTCGTTTAACTTAAAGATATGTGAATTAAAAAAATAATTGTTAAAATTTAAGATTCTTTAATGATTTCTAAACCAAATCTAAATTAAGTTTAAAAAATAAATATTTAGGTTAGAAATAGACCAAAATTTTAATAGATTAAAGATAGTAATGCAATAATTTGGTTGAATTGGTTTTAAGATATCTAATTGATTTGAAAAAGACTAAAGTTCATTAACTAATAGTTTCTTATGAATTTTCATATAATGTCAAGCATTATGAATGAGTATTAAATTTTTTAATAAAAAATATCTTTATTTGTCTTCTTATCTTTTATTTTTTTAATATAATTATCTTTATTAAATTTATGTGAATAATATGTATGACTTATAGTTGAAATTTATATAATATATTTTTAGCAAACTATTTATCTCTTTAATGATTTATCTAACTCGTTTTTAAATTATGCATTTCCTTTAAAAATTATTGTCACAAATTTGATAGATAAAATAACTTTTATTTTGGGTGTCAACCTACAAAAATAACACTTTGTAGAAATCTTAAATGTAATATCATAAATCCAAATAGTACAACAAATTGTCAAAACTTTTTTTTTAATGTGAGAATTAAATTCTACTTTTAAATATAAAATACATAATTTCATTAATCTTTTCTACAAACCTATTGGTAATAAGATTATAAAATTTAGTAGTCTTGAATTTGATAACTAAACACTTTTTTCATGTATAGACTAAATGACTAAAATATTATCTTTTTTATAAAAATTTAAAATTTAAAAATCAATAATTCTAATACATTTCTAAAAAATATTTATTATTCTCTAAAAATAATCTAGTAATAATCTTTTCTAAAATCATAATTATCTAATTTTGAGCATTTTATAAAGATTAATTTTTTCAATAAAAATACATTAAAAATCCTTCTTAGTATTGAAAAAATGAAATTATTGCTGCCACCACAATCCACTACCAACTTGATTTATTTTTTTAATTTTCTTCATATTAAAATTAATGATTTTTTAAATAATTTTAGAATATATATATATATATATATATATATATATATATATCCTTAAAATATATTAAAATATAAAAAATACAAGGATATTTTTGATATTTCAACATATTTTAGGAATACATCTGATATTTTATTTTACTTTTAAATTATTTTTTTAATTTTGAGTTATGTAAAATTAATTATATTTTAAACATATAAATAATTAAAAATATAATAATTATCTATAAAAAATGAATAATACTAATATTTTATTCAATATTACAAATAATGTAGGTGGCATGTGAAAGATAGCAAATTGTAGTGGAAATATCAAAGAACATAGTTGCTTATGGTAGATGGCAAATTGTGGTACTAACAAGAATTGTGGTGGCATTAATAATATCAAACAAAAATCCTCATTAAATCAAAATTTTATCATTAAATTTTTTCAAATTTTACCCTTTGGTAATGGAAATAGGTACTTTAATGTAAAATTAGCAAATAAATTATATTTTTTTTCCTACCTATGTCTTTTTTTAATAAAATAATTTAAATTAAAATATTGATTCTATTTAATTATAAATATTTTTGGATGAATTTATATTTTTTATAAATACCGAATTTTTAAAGATTGGAAGACTTTTTATATATGTTTTTAAAAAGTTTTCAAATAAATATATATATGTATTGGTATTTATGCATTGATTCTAAAAAAACTCATAATTTTTAATTTAGCAAGTATTGTATACATGAAGACAATTCTTTAATTATGCTTTAAATTCCAAGAATAGCTCTTACTTTACAATTTATGATAGTAAAGATTATATTTTGCAATTGCATCAATTTGTTTTTGGATTTTCGAAATATAACATATTGACATTATAATTGTAATTATCCTTAGTTTTTAAAAACATATCATAGTATTTATTTTTTAGTTAATATTATTTATGCATTATTAAGAGATTATAAGAGTTTTTTTAAAAAAATTTGTCAAATAATCACCTTAACTATTGTATATGCTAAAATTATATATAAAACTATTCACAAAAAAATTTAATAAGGTTCAAAATCTTATTTATTAATCTTAAAAAAATTATATATATGTAAAATTAGTTTTAAATTAATCTTATGAAGTGATCTTTATTTATTGGTATTTATTATATTTATTTTCAAGTGTCTATATTTGAAAAAAAAAAATTCTCAATTTTTGTCACAAAAAAAGAAAGAATATATTTTTTATGTAATATTATTTAATTCTTATGACCGACATAAATTTTGATTTTTTTTTGTTATTTATGGCATCGATATAACTTATTTAAATTTTTTATTTGGCCCAAAAAAATTAGCAATTGTAAAATTTTAATTTTTTTGAAGAATATCTATATACTTTAGACTTATTTAGAATAATTATTTTTATTGGCTTAACATCAAGAAGAAATTAAATTTTATAAATTTCTAAATTTATTCTATTTAAATCCTTTTAATTGAATGTGAAGATTATATTATAATAATTTTTATTTGTTTCTTAAAAATATTTGAAATTATGGATAATTTTAGTTTAATAAACCTAAGCCAAATTTTAATATACTTTCTTTTAACTTTATGTATAAATTTGAACTTTTGTCAATTTGGTATTTTTTAATATTTAAATTCCTTTCATTCTAAATTTTTTTTGACATGTAATTTCTATAGTGTCCATATTTCTTATAACTACAGGAATCCATTTAAGTTATAACTGTATAATTATTTTAATTATGTATTTGGAATTTATCAACATTCACTTTTTAATTCTTGGATAATGTTTTTCTTTTTTCTTCTATATTTGATAGCATTTCTATTTTTTTAATCTCTTTTCAGCTTGTAGTTTATCTCAAACTCTTATTTAATTCATAAATAATCCCTTGTTAAGTGTTAATATAAACTTATCATTTATTATTTTTCTCCTCTAATTTCTAAGGTAATTATCAAATTTCTAATTTATTTATATTTATTTTTAAAGCTCTAATATTAATTCAATAATGTAATATTTTATAGCATAGGTTTTATTCTTGAATAAATAGGATTATTTGCCACATATTCTAAGAATTCTAAAAAATATTGCTAAAAACATTTGTGTATTTTATTTTTGTATCCATTCATCATCTTTGAACCTTCTTGCTTTGTTTGACTTAAATTACAAGTTAAATGTTTTATAAGCAAATTTTACTAAACTGAAAAATGGATACAATGCAGACCATTTACCATAATATTTTTCACTTATATAGCTTGTTATTAAACCATTACAATAATGTTCATTATAAAAATAATAATATTTTATATAATGCAATCTTTTCTACATTCTTTTAAAAAATATTTTAGATCTTTAATTTTATATTTTTATTAATATTAATGGTTTGTTTATCTACTTACTTTTATAAGTTTTTATAATTATGAAAACTAAATATTTACTAATTGATCCATATATTACTTATTTTATAATATTTAGTACTATCTCTTATAGATTTCAATTTTCTAATTGTTAAATTAATGATACAATCTCATTTTATCTTTATCTAATACTTCTTGTAAATTTTTTATAAGATTTAATCTTTCTTGTACTTTAAAAAAGTATAAATTTTTGCATTCTTCTTATATCATTGTAGTAGTTATTAAAAACTCTCACATGTATAATAAGATTTGAATTACTAATATCCTACATTTTCTTCAACCAAATTTTTGCAATGTAAAGTTTCACCTTTAAAGCCTTTAATTCTTGGAAGTTCTTCAAGGTAGATTCTAAGATTTTTATTTAAAAAATCATCATTAATTTTTATGATTTTTTGATACAATGAATGATTTAAAATTGTATCTTATATAAATATATGTAATTTCATGTTGATTTCAATATATTTTAATTACATTGGTATAAGAATATGAAGTAGAATTAATTTCAGAATATAGTTTAATTCATAATATGTTATTTAATTTTTTAGTGATTTTTTATTTTCAATTTACAAATTTATTAATATAGCAACACCGTGTATTGTTTTATTTTATTTATTCTATTTCAATGTCATATCATATTACTCGATAAAATATGCATTTCACTTTGAATTTTATAACTAATTTTTTTACTTGAAAAAAAATATATTATGATGAAATACTGAAGTACATAAAAATATATATTATGTTTTTTATACACTACATTTAAAATCTCATACATCGAATATTTAGAAATCTCCATGTTATGAAAAAGATATGAAGAGTTTTAAAATGATGCACAAGACTTGTATTGTCTTGAAAAGTAAAATAAACTAAATGGTATACTATACTATGTAAAGTAACTATACTAATAAAAATAAATTATTTCCAATATAATATATTGTTAAGAACGTTCTGATTTATTAAAAGCACCATATCTAGAGTACTATGAGTTCAATAAATTGAGGATTCACCATATTGCTGACACTACCAAGTATTTTTTTTCTATACAAATTTAAAGTATAAATATCTTGTTAATCTTTAAACAATATGTATGAATGTGAAATTGGAAGGATTGATAACATACAACATATATTAAGACTTAGTTGTGGCATCAATAATAATTGCAATTCTACAATTTTATTTTTTTAATTAAATATGATGGTCTTTTTAAAATTACAATACTATATCTTCTATTTTTCAATATAAATTTTATACAGATTTTACAAACTATTATGAAATTTTTATATTACAAACATCATTTGATTTATTGAAGTATTAATCAAGTGTGAAAAATAATGTATTTTTTTATGTGGAATAAGAATTTCATAGTTAATTCTATTTCTGTTCTACAGACATATATATACCTATACATATATATATATATATATATATATATATATGTTATACCTTACTTAAAATAGTGAATATTCATGTTGTAAAAAAATCGACAGATTTTATTAATAATTCTATTGAAGATTTAGATTTTTCATTAGTTTGAGCATATAAAATTTGAATACCTTTAAATATATATATATATATATATAATGATTATTAGTTTAACTTAAGTGAAAAAAACAAAAATATTTATATGTTGTATAAAGAACAAAACAAAACATAAACGAACAAGTATTACCTTTAGGTCCAATGAAAACAATGACAACCTTGTGGTTTGGTAAGAATAGACATATCATACAATGGCACACACATATAAATGAATGTGCTTGAGAAATCAAATTTAATCATACCGATATATATATATATATATATATATATATATACATACATACACATATCCCCACAATCATAAGGGACATGAACCCCAAATCCCAAAGCACAAATTTTAAATCACAAACCTAAAAACTCCAAACAGTGAACCAAAATATTACATTTTACATCCAAAATCTCAAAAACCTTAAAAGTAAAACACAAACCTTCCAACTTGAATCTCAAAACCCAAAACTCCGATTTCCAGATCTAAAATCCTGATTTGTGAATGTCAAAACCGGAACATTAATACTCCACAATGTGAACCCCAAAACCCTAAAATGGTATGCAGCCCAGGATTAAGCTGCCCAGGATCCTCTGGAGCAATGGGGGAGTGGAAACTTTAACCCTAAAGTCCAAAATTAAAAGGTGTGCAAAGATTTGAAAGATGGAGGCAAAAGGCTGCTGGAGCCCCTTTTCAAGGCCCACACTGTGGGTTGAGTCCACACCCCAAGTCCAAAGTCCAAAGCCATGTCCATTGCTTTTGTTGACTCAATAGTCCTGTTCACCTTCACCATCAATATAATAAAACGTACATTTGTCCTCAATATTTTCCTCTCTTCATTTACTCTGCAAAAAGTTTTAAATATGGGTCAATACATTGCAATAAATTCTTCTTCATGGGTATGTGAACTTATCAGATCCAAATCCAAAAAGCCCACATAAAAATAAAAATAAACATTTGAAAATTATTTGTCTGATTTGTGCCAACTTTGTTTTTTGAAAACTGTATGGGTGTATGTTTTGGATTTTTTTTAGGAATTTCATTGTGGTGGACAAAGAGTCTTTGTGTAGCATGTAGAGATGATGAGAAGAATTGTTTTAATTGAATTAGATTGGCCTACATTTTATGTACATATATTCATATATTATTAATCAAGTGCTTTTATTGTGAGTTGTTTTAGTTCATTCAATTATTTTTATAGTTATATATGCCTATTTTTTTGCAAAATAAACAAGAAAAAATAAAAATCTCCTCATATGTTTTCTTAAAGAAATTAAATTTTTGTTATGTTTAACTAAAGATTTTTATCTTTTAATGTTGTGACTGTTTTTAGTAACTAAGAAATCCTTTTAACAACACTTAAGTATATCTTTCAATTTAATTTTAATAATTTATTTTATTTTTAAAGTCACAAAGAATCAGTGAACAGTCATTTCTAAAAATAATTTAAAAAATGTTTGAATTTTTACAGAAGTGTTTGCTGTTTTATAAATCTATCTGAAATGAGATCTGTAAGAGGATTAATACAAAAACTAGATTTAAGTACTTTACATAAGAAAATATATTTTAAACTTATACAAGCAAAAATACATACATACATACATATTATTTTAACAATGAAAATACAATTTTAAGAGAACATTATCCACCATGATTTAGGGTATGTCTGAATTTGTTATATTCCACATATTTCGTCACCAACCGAATAAATAGTACACACAAAAAAATAATTTGAAAGTAGAACAGTTACAACACTCACGTGCAGCTACGTGGTTGATTCTTCTCATTGACGCAGCATCGCCCTTCAGAACAATCTATTTTACATTGATTGCTGGTTCATGAATGTTCATGTTTTAGTCAACTATGCACTTCTACACTGTTATCAACCACAACAACTTTCCACAAAACTTTGTTCAACCATTGCTTCACGATTGTAAATATATATATATATATATATATATACAAACAAAGTGTTAATATCAGCTCAATTTTTGCTACCACCACCACAATTTACCATCGCATGCCACAATTGTTTTTGATATTGTCACTGTTACTACAACTTAGTAGATACTAAAGATATTAACAGAATTGTCGAATGAGCGGTAGTAGCAAAAACTGTTGTGACAGTAGTAATACCCTATAAATTCACAAAAATATGATTATTCCATAAGCTGAAATATGTTTCGTATGTACTCGTCTATTTGTTTATATATATATATATAGAGAGAGAGAGAGAGAGAGAGAGAGAGAGAGAGTAGCATGAGGAAGCTTCAAGTGTGCAACATGTGATGGATGAACTGTTGCGGTGAGATAATGGCATGAAAGACCAGTACGACAAATGGTCCTGCTGCGACAGACAAGACAAGTCTAGAGAAGACGAGTGTAGCCCACTTCAAATGCGTCATTATCCGGCGTCGAAGAGTGTGTGTATCCAAGCCACAGGATCTAACGAGAACCTTCCGGAGAGATGAGTCCCAGTTTCAACCTGACAGTGTCAATCGTGGTGATCCGGGTTGCACTGTGGTCAACACACTTGAAGGCAACAGATGGCGCTGCGGCCTAGGGGAGAAAAACAATTTCTAACTTACTTGGTGCAGTTACCTATCGGATTTCAGTCCTGATCGATTGGGCTTGACCCTTAGGACCATGCCTAGAATTTCTAGATCCTGAGGGTGGGGTCCGCGGAGTCCAGCCTAGACTGTGGCGAGAGACAACCTATTCCTCTCTTCTTCGTCCATCGCCTTTTGTTGATTTCTGGCGAAAGCAGAGCTTTAATTTTCCCCTTCGTTCACGTCTTTGACACCAAGGTCGCTGTGTGTTGCGACTCCCTCCGACTTGGTGCGCTTCGCGTGTGCAGACTTTGGGGACCATTGCTCCAGACCGGGTCTAAGAATAGTATTTCTTACGGGCCCAATGAACTAGCCGTCATTGTTCACACGCATGATTTAGGTTGATTACGGGGTAATTCTAGTGATCGATGCCGGAAGCTACAAATACTGGTCGCAAGTCAGGATTCTGAGGAAGAGTGCACATAAAAGCGTAGTCTGGTTTATTCACAGTGTGTCTAGCTAACTCCGAGCTCAGATTGCTGGAGCTCAGTGAGCAGGTCGGACGTCACGGTAGAGAAATTGTGGTTGCATCATGGACTCGCCAGGAGCAAGAATTGTTGTGTTTGTGTGTGTCATGGTTGCGCTCTTCGGGGTGGCCTTCTCCGCTCAGAGCTGCAATGTACTGTTGACCTCCAACAGACAATTCACGGCATGTCAAACGATCCCAGAGGTTGGAGCTAACCTAGCATGGAGAATTCGAAACGATAGTAGCAACGCCATCGACTTTGCTTACTCCGGTGCGTAACATGTCAGACCACATGGAGGAAAACCAGATAAACTCATAGTGATGTTGGAGAAATTTTGTTTGATATTTAGCAAACTTCGGTGAGTTAACGAATTTAAGTTGCTAATTGATGTCGTCGCACAGGTACGGCCCCAAGTGCCAGTGGATGGGTCGGCTGGGGCATCAACCCCGCGGGGGCAGGAATGGTGGGCACTCAGGCTTTGATCGCGTTTCAATCCACAACTGGCGCTGTCGTATATCAATATCCTGTCACTGGGGCGGTGAAAGGAGGACAGTCTCTCATACCAGGAGACCTCACCCTCAACTTCACAGACACTTCTGCCGTGGTTTCTGGTGCAGAAATGACGATCTTCTCCACACTGAACTTGAAAGCGGGTGATTCGATGAGTATGCAGTACGTCTGGGGTCAGGGACGCACCGTCGACCTGACCAACAATGCCGTAGGACCGCACTCAATTCCTATCTCTGGTGACGCTGCCGTCACTAACATCGACTTGTTAACAGCCCAAGCGTCCACCGTCGAACTCCCCAACCAAAAACTCAAAAATGTACGCCATCAGTTCAATTATTTGCAATTCTTTTATTTTTATTTCGCAAACTGTCTAGTTGTCAAGAGCGAAACGATTGAGACGCAGGTGATTAGAATCTGACGCACTCGACGATTAAATTGCACAGAACCATGGCTTGATCAGTGCCGTGTCATGGGGCTTGCTGATGCCGCTGGGAGTGATGGCAGCCCGGTACTTGCGTCCCATTTCAGGCAGCAATCCAGCGTGGTTCTACACCCACATAGCATTCCAATGCACGGGATACGTCTTGGGCGTGGTGTCCTGGGCGCTGGGATTGAAGCTTCACAACCTCAATGAGGGTGGCGCCGTTCCTTACAAGCATCGCAACATCGGCATTAGCATCTTCGCATTAGCCACTCTACAGGTGAAGCATTCAAACCTGAAGTAATTTCAATGGAATAGACGTCGAAGCGATAATCAGTTACTCCTAAAGATTTATGAGAGCTCCATTTTAAGTTAAATTGGCTTCTCAGACATATTGTTCATTTTTCCACCGTTTCAGGTCCTTGCTCTGCTCCTGAGGCCCAAGCCGGACGCGAAGTACCGAAAGTATTGGAATATCTACCACCACACCGTCGGCTACGCCACCATCATCCTTATCATCATCAACATCTTCGAAGGGCTCGATTTGCTGCAGCCTGAGGACAAGTGGACAACGGCCTACGTCATTGTGTTGTGCGTTCTGGGCGGCATCAGTCTGATCATGGAGATCGTCATCTGGACCTTGTGGGTGAAGCAGCGAACCAAAAACAACAAGGACGGCATGCACGGCAGCCAAATGAAAGGAACCGGATCTTACAGGACCGGACAGGATGTCGTGTGAGATCAAACGATTTGCATCAACCAGTTGGGTGTGGAGAGTTGCACCAGTAGATGCAAACCGACCACCACCCTCAGGTCCCTTCAAATCCTGTGGACCTCGATCGCAACATTACCAACTCTTACACTAGGGCTGGAGTACGTTTCCTTTTTTCACGACCAGAAATTGAGGGTACTACAATTTCTTGTTCATAGCACTGTCGAGACCAGCAATCTAGTCATTCGTAGCTTGTAAAGAATTGCGACCTGATTCTGTTTCGGCACGTCTGCTTCGTTTGCCTTGAAGCCGACATTTGTGAAGACGATGCATTCGCCGGTTCTACAGAGAGTCATCCGTGAGCTTTCATGCCTCTACTTACTACCCCATAAAAGCATCACCGAGATAGAGCTATCCAACTTTTCTTCAGCAGACACATGAATAGCGACCGCTAACTCAACTAAATACCACCCACAGTTATCGTTTGGTTTGTGTGATTTTGCCGCTGCAGGCTCTGGTTGTTTTGATAAGCTTCGCCTTACCGGCCATTTTTGAATTGTATACCACATTGCTATGAAAATTTCACCCTTATAATTTTGTCTAATTTTCCCTATACCCCCACCTGGATTTCAGTTGCTGTACACTGTCACACTTGCACTGGTTCAAAATGTTATCCTTGGTGGGATAAGGTTAAGCTAAGAATGGAGTTATTTGAAAGACATGATTAAGTTAATTCGGTTTCATGTTTCTATGCAATTCTCCACAGAAGGATAAGTTTTTAGCATGGAAAGTGAAGTTTAATTTTTGTTTTTCAATGTGCTTGTAATGCTGGATGTACTTTATATTTAAGAATCTACAGTTTGAGATGAAATGTTTAGAAATAAATGATCGGGTCTGCTTCTGCTGAAGCACACCTAACTGCAATATTACTGCCACAGAAGCAATTATGTACTGTGATGAACAAATTTAGTTGTTTAAGAACACACCAGTTTTATTGGGCATTATAAGAATTGTTGCAAACAGTAAAATATATATAGAATCAAAAGAAGTTTGATGCAGAATCTTTATAAACTTGATGCAGAATCTTGATGCAAAATAAAAATTTATCTAAAGAAGAAAAAAAAAGAATAAAGAAAAACATTCTTATTTTCAAAAATTATTAAAAACACATTTTAGAAATAAATGGCTGTAGATGATACTCTAGTTATTGAGTTTTTTGAACAAATAAAATGATGAATGAATTATGGAATTTATCAAAAAGATTATTGACAAACATATCTTTTTAATCAAATTACAATTTTTTCAATCCAAATATTAAAATTTTATGTACAATATTAACTTATAAATAAATATAAATGATCTTTTTTTCTTTTTTTTGAAATACTGTTGCATGATTTTTTTGAAAATTGCTTTAATAAAATTAAGAAAAATAATGAAAATATATTACAATCAAAAAAATGAATTTTGATTTAGAAATTTTATTTTGAAATGTAAAACAAATAGATTTTTCCTTAAATTATGCACATAAGATGGGGAGATGGGATGTGAATAAGATTAAATAGGAATGAGATTGGATTGGAACAAGATGGAGATAGAGGGATGAGATTAGATGAGGAAGAATTAGAGATGGTGCGGAGACGAGGTGGAACAAGATTGAGTCAAGATAAGGTGGAGATAAGATAGAGTAGAATAGAGATAAGAAGAAGTTGGGTTGGGAATAAGAGACAAAGATTAAAAATAGAGCCAAAGATAGAGGACGGATATAGAATGAATTATGAGGTGGCAAGAGAGTATGGCATCAACAAAATTGGAATGTGACTTTAATAAAATATGTGGAACAAAATTGGAATGTGGCTTTAAGAAAATATGCCTTGCTACCAACTACCATGCCTTATTATTTGCTTTAATCATCCATTATTACAGCCACCATTAGCTGCTGCTACCGCAATCTAACACATACTATTATTTTTATGGAAAAAAAATAAATAATTTTTTTTAATATTTTTAATTTTAAGTTCAAAATTATCATTTTATTTGGCTTTAAATTTTAAAGTACATTTTATTCAACCTTTTCTACTTAATCTTCTATTTTCTTTACAAATTTATTTATAATGGATCTTCAATATCTTCAACTGCCTCTACAATGGTTCCAATTATCACCACTATATCCCAAAATTTTTAAGCTCTTCTATTTTTTACTATTAGTTATTAATAAAAATTATTATTTACTATAGATAAAAATAGTTTAAATAAATATATTTAAAGAACAATTCTTAGATGTAATTCTTTTTAAAGAATCTCCTATTGTAAGTACTTCTATTTTTCTTGCTATCTATTGGAAAGCACTTCTTTTCCTTCATTGTCACCTTGTACCTGCATTATAACATCAATATTTGAAAATGGAAGATTCAACAAAGCTTTGGAAGAATCTTAAATCTAGGTTTGATCATCAAAAGACCATTTTTCTTTTGCGTCTACATTATAATTGGACACATTTATGTATCTTAGATTTTTTAAATTTAAATGCTTTCAACACTAAAATATATTGTATTTTTTCATAACTATAGTTATATGGACAAAGCATCTTTGAAGAAAAAATGATTAAAAAAAATTAAATTTATATTTTCTTCTTGTATCTCTTGTGCTTGCACAATAATATAAGAACATGAAATTTCAGAGTCATCCTAATCTCATGTCCTATCTATTTCTTGTAGAGAAAAAAAATGAGATATTCATGCATAATGCAGAAGCTTGTCTTTTTAGAACCATAGTTAGTAGAATCTCATGTACTTAATATTTTAAAGTCTAAGAAAAAATTAAACAAACGTAAAAAAGGTACTTATAAGCACTAGGGCAATCATGGTCATGATTATTTTTATCCATATAGAAAAAAAAAATCTACTACTGATTACAATAAATAATAAAAATCATAGATGTATTCTTGCTAAATATATAGAATGATTGGACATTTAGTACATGCATGCTTTATTTCCAAATATTTTATTAAAATGCTCCAAGAAAATAAGAAACTTTGAGTTGAGGCTTGTGAAGTTCATACCATGGATGTGTCCATGGTTTCAATTAAAGTTGATGATCTAGAGGCTTATATGAATGATAAAACCTCTAATAATGAATCAAATGATGCATTCATTGATTTTGCAACAATACATACTATCTTCTAAGATAGATGGTTTTTTAATTAAAAAATCTTTAACTTGGAAAACTAGAAATTTAATGATCATGATTGAAACAAATGTATTTTGTTTCCAAGAAGGAACATAGATGATAAAATTGCTTGCATGCTTCATCATAAAATATAAACATGTAGTCTTTGCATATTTAGTACCTCAAAATTTGATTAACTATCAAGATGTGCATGCCAATGGTTATCACCTCTCAACTACTATTCAAGATATGTAAGAGGTTTTGGTTCTTGCTTAAAATCATAAAGTTATTAAAAAAATCCTTTGTTGCAACAAATTATTTATACCAAATTGCAATCTGACCTCTCATTATATTTAATTTTATATCATCTATCATAGAGAGTTGTATTTTTTTTTAACATGGACAATTAAATCAACAAAGATCTATATTATTTCAAAAGTTAACTTTATATATAACTAGACATAATTTAAAATATGTAGATGTAGATTTTATAAAATTATGTTGTACATGTATACAAGGTAAGATGATTATTTGGCCTTCAATTTGAAACTCCCATAAGAATTATCCATTCTTGAAAGGTCGTAGGTAATATTTGTTGTCCTATTAATCCAATATCTGGACTATTTTGTTATTTTTTTATCTTTATTGATGCATCAAATAAATAATCACATGTTTTATTATTATCAACTCAAAAAATGGTGTTTTCCAATCTTATATCTATTCTTATTTATTTTTTAGTAAATTTTTCTAAGTATCCTATCAAAACATTGCTTATAGACAATACAAAAGAATTTGCATCAAAATCTTTTAATGCCTATTGTATTGCAATAAGGATTCAGTTGACATATTTTGTTTCATATAAACATGCTCAAAATGGACTTGTAAAGTCATTTATAAAGTGTATTCAAGTCATTATTCAGCCACTCTTTCTTCAAGTAAATTTACTTGCATTTATGTGAGGTCATGCAAATTTGCATGCTATAATATTAATACAACTCCATCCTTCTTTTCTTGAAATTATTACACTACAAAAACTCATTTCAAGTCATATTTTTAATGTATCTCACCTACAAGTATTTGGTTGTTGTGCTTAGATCCCAATACTAGAATCTCAATGGCATATCATTAGAACTCATTAATTAGAGGATACATATGTTGGTTTTGATTCATCAAGCATTATTCATATTGTTGATCCATCAATTGGCTCATTATTATGTACAAATTATCAAAATTGCCATTTTGAAGAGAATGTATTTTTATTTTTTTGAAGAGTATTTAATTAATAAAGAAATAGAATATTTGTATTTGGAACATAAGAAATATTTACAATGAATCCTAATCTTAAAACATCTTTGGTTGAAACTAAAGTTCTAAAATTTTGTATCTAAAATGGATTGCAAATAAAACACCTGATGGCTTCAATGATGCACCTCAGATTATAAAAATTCTCATTAATGAGGCTCAAAATGTATTTGCTCAAATTGCAATACTACTAACTAATATACCTTACAATACAATATCAAAAATTAAAAAGACTTGTTGATTAGATAAGTAATCACAAAAGAAGAAGGCTATAATATTTTCTAATTTTTGTATTATTTTTATAAAAGTTTCTACTAAATCTATAAGACCATTAATTAATGATGATATTTCCATGCAAATTATATCTTCACCTTTTGTAATAAAAAATCTTTAAATTAGGAGAAATTAAACCAAGTTGAATACAAAATTATTTGTTCTATATTATACTATAAACAACATTTGAGATAGACCATCTATTACAATAAATGAATCATTTGCATGCATGATTTTAGAAGCTTTTTCTTACAAGAAAGAAGATCTTGAACCTCAAATCATCAAAAAAAGGATGTGTTGCTATGATTGGTTAAAATGAAAAAGTACCATCAAGGAAGAATATGCCTCTTTGCATAAGAGGAAAGTCTTAGGTCTAATTGTGGACACTCTTACATCTTAATTTGTAAGATATAAGATGATATTAGTATACAAGCAAGATGCTAAGGATTAGATAACCTGCTATAAAGCTTGTCTTCTTATTCAAGGATTTATCTAATGATTTAATATTGATTATGAATCCACATATACTTTTAATCATGGATTCAATTATATTGTGATATATTATTGGAATAGCAATTCATTCCACTCTTAAGATGCATCTCATAGATATAGATAATTGTGTATCTATAAAATTTTCTTGATACACATATTTATATGAAATTTCTACTTGATTTGAAAACATGAATTCCAAATAGACCTATTCTAAGATGATATCATGATATTAAATTATACATGGCCTTATATGGCCTACAACAATTTGGATGCATGTGGTATCAATGTCTCAAAGATTACTTAATTATAGATAAATTTGTAAGTAATCTTTTAATTTCTTATTTGTTTATCAAATAAAATAAAATTAGTATT